GTGATGCATCCCCTCCCCGTATCACAGGTGGATTTATTGTGCTGGATGGAGAAACCTATGAGCTGAAGGGGAACTGGGAAAACGAGTGCGAGTCCCCCCGATATGGATACGACTTCTGGTACCAGCCACGCCACAACGTCCTGATCAGCTCTTCTGGCATAGTCCCAAAAATTGCAGGACGTGGATTTAATCCCAATGACTTGAAGAAAGGTGAGGGAATGGGGGTGCCAGTGCTGAGCCAGAACTCATCGAGGTGGTGGGAGGGTGTTGGTGTGGTCAGACAGCGGGACAGGCACATTTCTCCCCAAACGGCCCATTTTACCAGCGTAAATTCTACTGGATGTGCAGCATCTGTCCTTAGGACAGGCTGGTCCTTCTCTTCTCCCGCTGCTCCCTAAATCCCTGCAGTTTCTCTGCTAGCTCTGGCTTGACCCTGTCTGTGAGCATTCTGGGGGGATTGGTCTCCCTCTCTTCTCACTTGCTTTTCCTTTTCCTCAGGGGTCTACGGGCGCCACCTCTACGTGTGGAACTTGTCCTGCCGCACCATCACCCAGTGCTTTGACCTGGGAGAGGACTCTCTGCCCCTGATCGTTAAATTCCTCCACAACCCCGATGCTGCTGAGGGCTACGTCAGCTGTGCCCTGAGTGGCGTTGTCTACCGCTTCTACAAGTGTGAGGCAAGTGTTCTGCCCGCAGCCAGGGAGACGCGGCCATGGTGGGTGACGGGGGGATTGAGGAATGCTCAGAAGAAGTTTGGGGTGTCGGAGAGCAAGGAGGTGTGAGGAGAGGGCAGTGTCCAGACCCTGCTTTGGACTCGTGTGCTAGAGTGAGAGGAGTCTGTTCTTCCTCTGAGTGTGAAGGGAGCCCATCGTGAGCAGTGGGATGAACATCTGGGGGATTAGTGCAGGGGAGCGCTCTTGGCCGAGCAGCAGGAAGGCTCACGGTGCGGTGCCTGTTTCTTGTGCAGAGAGAGAACTGGGCCGTGGAAGAGGTGATTCGGATACCGCCCAAGGAGGTGTCGGGATGGATTATGCCCACGATGCCAGGTTTGTGTGCCCCAAGGGGGTGATTCCTTTTTCCTCCCGGACTCGATGCAAGGCACGTCTTCTGCTGGTGCCGCCTTCTCTAGAGCTCTTTGTTTCTGTGCCCCAGCCTTCACGGTCGACCTCATCATCTCACCCGATGACAAGTACCTGTATCTCTGCAACTGGTGGCACGGAGACATCCGCCAGTACGAGCTCTCCAGAAACTGCAAGCCCCGGCTGGTGGGACAGGTAAGGCAGGAGCAGGAGGGCTTGCGCTGCTGGGTTCCTGAGCAGGATCTGGTGGTGGTTGGACACCGAGGAGACAGATCTCCCTCTGCCTTGCTCGCAGGTGTTTGTGGGAGGCAGCATCCTCAGAGGTGGCCCCGTGACTGTGTGCAGAGACGAGGAGCTGAAGTGCCAGCCCGAGCCCTTGGTGGTCAAGGTGAGTTCTGCGTCCTCTTTGCCCTCCGTTGGCCTTTGGACTTGGGCTCTGCTCTGCCAGTTCTGTGCCCAGGGTTTCTGGGGCTGGTCTCTGTTGCAGGGGCACGCTGCCCCTGCGTGTGCTTAGCTGCTGAAAGAACGGGGCCGGTAACATCCTGCTGTGTGTTGTGCCTTCAGTGCAGGAGAGTGTACGGCGGCCCGAGTAGATTGCAGCTCAGCTTGGATGGCAAGAGGCTGTACGTCACCAACTCCTTCTACAGCACCTGGGACAAGCAGTTCTACCCCGACCTGGTCAGGTGAGAAACGTCTGGGAGGAAAGGGGCCTCTCTGCTAGGAATGGGCAAGATGCCTCATCTGGGGGGCTGCAAGGACACGTTTGGATTGCAGGGGAACACCATCCCCACAGCTTGCTGCTGTTGAGTTTCATCTGCAGTTGACTCCCAACCGTCTGTGGCTGGGCAAGGTGCAGGGGGTGCCTGCGTGGAGCTGCAGTGCCGGGGTTTTGCTTGGGAGAGAGCGAGTGTTTGCGTGGGAAAGGTGGAGTGAACCCACTGGGGATCCACCAGAGATGGTTTGGTTTAGCAAAGCAGAATCCACCAGAGATGGTTTGGTTTAGCAAAGTAGACAATGACCTCCAACACAAAACAAGCTCCAGCCTGGGTGTCCCACCATGCCCGGCCGTTTACTCAACTCCATGATCTTTAAGGTCCCTTCCAACCCAAAGCATTCCCTTGTTCTGTGATACGATTCTATGATTCTGTCTCCAACACAAAACAAGCTCCAGCCTGCCTGTCCCACCATGCCCGGCCGTTTACTCGCGTCCATTGAGAATTCAGGAAAAAAGTTGAAACTGAGCCTTGGCTCCCTTCTCGCTGTAGAAGACCAGCTGTTGAGGAGAAATCCTCTTCCTCGACACGGAGCAGGAGGCAGGATCTCTAGACCAGGACCATGGTTTGCTTGTGCGTAACGGCTGCGCTCTTGTCCCCTCGCAGGGAAGGCTCTGCCATGCTGCAGATCGATGTGGACACTGAGAAGGGCGGCCTGACGGTGAACAAGAACTTCCTGGTGGATTTTGGAAGGGAACCCAATGGGCCTTCCCTTGCCCATGACATCCACTTCCCTTGCGGAGACGCCACCACCGAGATCTTGGCCTAGGCGCCATGGGAAGGAGTCCCTTCTTCCCTCCCTTCTGTAGTGCGGCCATTGCAAAGAGCGTAGGGTGATTGGGTTTGGGGTCCCCCTTCCTAGATTTCTGCTAACACGAGCTACGGGAGCTCTGCCTTGTTGCGAGGGTTTGGTTGGGGCAGACCAGTGAAGGCAGACACACGGCACGTTTTCAGTGTTGTTTTCAGTGCAAAGCCGTCCCTGGGCGTGATTCCCAGAGCAGAGCCCGGGGCGATCGCTCCGATATGGAGATGCGCAGTACACACGCTGCCTGTCGGCAGAAAGAGAAGTACCCAGTTCGTCTGAGTTACTGTTGTTCAGCCAAATCATTCCTGGATAGTCTTTCCCTGGCATGAGAGCGCTCCTGGCTCGCTTCTCACAGGTCGGAATGCATGAAGGAGCATGAAGCTGCCTGTGTCCTGTTTCTGGTTTGCTCTTATGTTCTGCTTTAAACACGAATAAAATCGTTCTTCGCATCAGCTGGATCCTCACGTGTCTTATTTCACTGGAGCCTTTCCCTGCTGTTGTTGGCAGCGGTTGACGGTTAGGTCAGGGTGTCAGGAGTCCCTACGACAGAACCCTGGCTGGTCAGGACTGCCTGCTAGCATTCCGAAAACCCAAAGTTTGCCAAAATCTGCATGTAATGTGGATCCTTACACGTGTTAGCTTTTTACATTTTTTCCTTGGAAGAAAAGATTTTCACTTTCATCCTTCACACTTCCCTCGGCCAAACGTATCGCTCCAGCTCCCTTGTGCCCCCCTTCAGCAATCCCTCTGGAGAGTGGTTCCATCGCTTCCGTGAGGTGTCTGGGAGAAATTGTCCCCTTAGGGAGGTCTCTTGTCACTGGCTAGAGAGGATGACATGAGACGAGGTTTCAGGAGGTG